GCAAGCACGCCAGGAATGGATGGCACCGACGCTGGCCAGTCGCGATCCACACGAATGCTCCGCACCGGGTGGTATGGTGAGACTCGCTGGGCTCTGCTTCACCCTAATCACGGTCAAACATGCCAGAAGTGAGTCCACGCACGGATTCATCAACTCAGCCATTGAGGGAACGAAAGAGAGCGAGGTGCGAGTAGTGGTGGTACAACGTGCGACGATTGACGATACGGAAGAGAAAAAGCGAGTGGCCCGCCCAGGACTCATACCCTTTGGCTTGTGCTCTCTGAGCCACGGTACGAATACTGTCGACCTGGTGTCTGTCCCCCCTTGTTCATATTTTGTGTTCGCGAGAGGCGAGCCCGGATGGCCTTGTGGGGCCGGCTAGAGGAAAGCTGCGACCGGATTGGTTCATAGCGGCGGTGAAGCTGACAGAGAGCGAAACGGGTGATGAGGCGGAGAGGTGGCTGAAGGACGAGGCGAGATTTGGGAGAGCGTGGAGAATGACGGCGAGAAGGCAAAAGGGGGGGGCACGCGCACGGATGGCATCCTTTGGAATGAGGCGTGTCAAAGCCGCGAAAAGCCCATATGCCACAAGGATCCGTAAGTGTAGGGGACCACATGCCGTGGTGTTTGTCGCCGGGGTTCGGAGCCTGGCCCGAGAGCAAAGGTTGGGCCGTGTTCAGGCGGTCTCTCCGTCCCATAGTCGCAGGTTGGACTCTGGTAGGTAGTGTGGGACACGACCAGGTAAGAAGAAGAAAAGGGTATGTGGTGTGCTCAGTGGAATCCGTGACATCAAATTACGCCATTGGCAGCGCCGGTCAAAAGTGTCGGGCCCGCGGCCTACCACGCGCGCACCAGGGGAGGGTGAAACGGGGCAAACGGAAGAAACGGAGGAAACGGGGGAGACGGCCACGGAGCCAAGCAGAGGAGCAAGATAGCCGACACCGCAATCATGGTGACGGTCTGGAGTCTCCTCTCGCGGCTTCCCAGCGTCCAGCGTCCAGCGTCCAGCGTCCAGCGTCCAGCGTCCAGTGTCCAGCATAGGGGCAACAGAGTGAGGCTGTGAACCACAACGCTGGGCTTGGCGGCGCGGATGAAATGCCCGTCTGTCATGCCCGTTATCGTAACCTGTGTGGGTCGTCACGACGTGCGAAGGGTGAAACGGTCGAGCAACACAGAACGGTCGCGATGAGTCGGTGGGAAAACGGGGCACCAGTCGCTGGCAGCGTCTAGACCCCCAGCGTGAGGAGAAGGCCCAGACACTAATGCAAAGTGTTTCCGTGTACCGAGCGGACAACGCAGAACACGCAAGGGGGAATCGAGTTTTTCTTTCTTTTTTTTCTTTTTTTTTCTTTTCTTCCCCCCTCCCTCCCACTCCTTCTCCTCCTCACTGCTGCTTCCTCATTTCTTCTTCTCTCTCTCTCTTTCCTTTGCAAAAAGGGGGATTGTACGGGCAGGGGGGGCAGGGGCAACGATGACCAATACGATATCCGTACTTGTTACTCATAGACAGGAGGATGATGGGAAAATGCACAAAGATGATGCCTAGACCTTATCCCCCCCCCCCCCCCCTTTGGCGGTTCCACGGGCTGCCCGTTCCCAGCACACCCCTGTCTCGCCCCCTTCTTCTGAATGTTCCATTCGCCTTCCATTCTGGTGCCTCTGGCTGACTGCCAATTTTTTATGATTTTCTTTTTTATCCAACTTTCGCTGCCGGCTTTTCCTAAAGGGGTACAGTACAATTCAGACCATGAGGCGCCGTCATTGGATCGCTCAACCTCAGTCAATGCCTTCTAGCGCGCTCTAGAGTGAGTGCCTTCTCCACTTAGGTACGGATACACATGTCTTCTTTTCTTCCTCCTTTCCACTACCGTGGCCCCACCCCTCCTGCTGTCTGCGTGTCTGTCTGCTTTGGCTCACGCTTTGCCCGGCCCAACTCGGGGGGGGGGGGTTTTTTGGTGGGGGTTTTTTTTTTTCCCTTCTCTTCTTCCTCTTCTTTTCCTTCCTTCCTTCCTTCCCGCCTTTCCATCCTGTCTTCCATCAGTCTTCCATTCCGTCCGTTGTGCATTGCTCGGTCCACTACACTCGTGCCCAGCCTGCTAATGCCCGTGCCCTGTAAGAATAAGGAGAGCACCCCAAACCGTAACCCCTGCGATGACGCGACCCCGTAAAATAATAACTGCCCACATAAACCCATCCTGCTCATGACAGCTCGCTCGGCTTGTCTGGACGTGGGCTCCCACCCGAGCAATGGCCTTTTCACAGCCTGACCACACCCAGCCAATACTCCCCGCCTCTGTGCCACTCCGTCATCGCAAGAGCAACGCGTCACCTGTTAGTCACGGCATGCCTCCACTGGTACCCGCCCGCGCCGTACGCATATGCCATGTACCTACTCTACTTCCCAGTGCAGTGCGTCTACAATCTGCACAGGGGCTCTCTCTCTCTCTCTCTCTCTTTCTCTTTCTCTCTCTCGTGCGTGTCCGTCCCACATTCTGACCGAGCCTCGTCGTTGTCTGCCTCGTCTGGTGCCCAAGACAACAAGTCGGCCGCGATATACCGACGGGTACAAGGGGCGACGGCGACGACGACGATGCCGTGTTTCGAGGTAGCAACGGGATAAAAAATAGACCAAAGAGATGCCATGCACATCCCCATGGCTTGGTTACCATTGGACCGTCTGCTACCTTCTCCGTCCGGGCAATGATGTGCCACCTGCCTCGTCTCGTCTCCTTTGCCCGATATACCCCTGCTAGACCGTAGGCATTTCCGTCCAGGGTGGGGCGGGTGCCATGCTGCGGATACTTGCGTCGACGCTCATAACTGCGTACCAAAACCACCTTGCGTGCTAGTCGTCGATACCTTTGCTGCGCCCTGGCGCTCTGTACCTACCCTCCCTTAGCATCAAGGGCTTGTTCTCGCATCCCCGTTATCAGCCCCCCCCCCCCCTCTCACCCCTGCTTAGCATGTCTGGCCCCGTCCATCCGTCCAGCGCGTTGTCCGGGTCTCCTCCTCCTCCTCCTCCTCTCAAACAGGCAGACGAGAGCCATTGACTGCGTTGAGCCCGTCCTTGCTGGTGCTGGTCTGAAAGATGGGGAACCACCATGGGTGATATGGAGATGCGTATTGGATCTGATTTGATGTGCTTCCGTCCCCTCCTCCCCCTAAAGGCTTCTACTCCGTATCCGTACTGCGTACACATACAGGTACACTGCGAAGTTCCTAGGCACTTCCTACCCCTGCCTCCCTATCAGCAAGGGTCGCTCTCGCGGCGCGCGCGTGCGTGTGGGTGGGTGGGCTTGTATACTCTCAAAGGGGCCGTGGCAAGGTACTCCTACTCGGTGCCTCGCGCTGTAGGGTAATGTCAAGCAGAGGCAAAAGGGTGCGGGTACGTATCTCAATCCACAGCAGGTACCTGGTGTACATGGACCAGAACACGCTAGCTGGGTGCGGAGCACTCCCTCTCACTGGCCCCGTACCATCCTGACCTGGCCTTGCTCCAGCATTCCTTGCCTTCCCTCGTCGCCTGTGGTACGGTACCGCCGTCTCCCAAAAGATACCTCGTCCGAGTACTCCTCCTCATCCTCTTCCGACTCCACGGGGCAACGCTTTTAGCTATCTCATGTCCTCTCCTCCTACCCGTCGTCCCCTTCCTTCCTACTCACGAATGCTTCACCTGCTCTCTCCTTCTCACGAACGCCCGAACCCGCTATCGACATTTCTAGACCCTTTTGCCTTTCTCCTACTTCATCCATCCTCTTACGATAATACATCGTCTATCCATCCAGTCATCCATGACAACCGGTTAGCTTCGCCTGCCAGATACACACACATAACACACATACATCGTCGTCGACTTAACCCTCGGCGCCATTACAATCTGAACCTCTCTAATCTGCCTTCCCCCCCCCCCCCCCCCCCTACCCCCGTCTTTCACTCTCTCGCCGCTGCACCCTTCTTAGGCTCTCGTTCCATCAACCGTCAGCTTCAACAAGCAACCTGCTTTTGTACAGTACCGACGGTTTCGACCACCACGCCCCGCCACGTTTCCTTCGATCAGCATCCGCACCCTGGGTTCGCAATAGTCTGGCACCAGTAAGACGTCACGCCGCTCCTCTGCAGGCCTCAAACAAAAGGGAAGGAAAGAAAATCCCCTTTCCACGCACCGTATCGAACTCTCGACTGTACTGGACGACGACCTTGGAACGTGTGGCTTGGTTGCATTCCGCATAGATCTCCCCGGCGTCGACCTTGGTGGCTCACCTGCATTCTTGCCGTGGACTCGCTGTTGTTGGCGACGTTCTGCAAGCAGCTTTTTGCACACTCACTGCCGATTGCGACGAGTCAATTCCATTCCCGTCACCAAGACACTTCTAGCGCGCCCAGATCCGTCTTAGTGCAAGCCTCTTTCGAAGCCCGCCTTGGGACATCATCTGCAACGCTCTGGGCTATTTACCCTGCCTATGCCCCAGCCCGTCCCAGCACACCAGCTCTCTTCGAGGATAGATGGCCTTGTTGCATTTCTTGTGATCCGACACTTCGAACTACGATCCCCTGCCAACACATAGCGCAAACCCGCACGTCGACCCGCGATCAACCGGCTTTCAAACCCAACCGACACCTCGTCGAGCATCTACTGATTAGGAATCCGAGTGGCATCGTCGAGCTTGACCCGACACCCAAGGAATAGAGTTGCTGGGTATTCGACACGCCGCCTTCAGCAGCATATCCATCGTACGGGGCGCCTTCTATGGGTTTGTCGAGGCACGTCTAAGCAAAGCAGACTGTCCCCTGAGTCCTGCCCTGTTGCTATCTCCCGGAGTAGCACATTTGGCACCTTCATATTTTTATTTTATTTTGCTCAACGACTTGGCGTGGAGATGAAAAGGTCTAGGATAAGAACACACTCCCCCATATACCTGAGCCCTTCGCCATCCCCCGAGAGGGAACTGTCACCGCCCAGTCCGGCCACATCAGTCGCCGGCTGGAAACGTACCACCATCATGTCGAGGTCGAGGCCCACCAGCGGGGCCTTGATGCCGGGCGCCGTCATCTTGACGCCGCCTTCTCTCTCGGAGATACTATCTAATACCTCGTCCCCGCCATGGACGTTGACGGCCTTCATGGCCTATCTCTCTCAGAACCACTGCTTGGAGACGCTCGAGTTCACCATGGACGCAGAACGATACCGCAACGCCTATCAACAGATCATTACTAACAAGGAGTGGGTCGGCGACGGCAAAGAACACGTCTGCTCGCTGTGGGAAAAGCTGATGCAGGCATACATCATCCCCTATGCACCCCGCGAGGTCAACCTACCTTCGCGCGTGCGCGACCGTCTCATGGCGCAGCAATGCCCTCCCATTCCTCCTCCTCCTTCCGAGCTGGACGAGGCCGTCAAGATTGTGTACGAGCTCATGAACGATTCTGTCCTCGTACCCTTCATCGAGTCTGTCATGCCCAGTCATGGCGACGTGCGCATGGACGACGAAGGCTACGATGCGCGGCAAGGACGCTCTCGCTTGCAGGTGGAGGCCACCGGCGCCAGGTTAGACGAACCCAAACGGTCTCCAAACTTTCTGCCCCAGCTAGTTGTCGGCCGCAGCGGAGCCACCAGTCGTTCGGCCTCCGCGTCGGGCATGGAGCGTGAGGGCCTCACAGATGATAGCGGGAGCGCCGCCTCTCCCGGCACAGAACCCATGACGCCCCCCACCACGCCCCCCACCTCGGATTGGACTTTCAGCACCTCTCCCGGCGGCCTCCAGCGGGCTCTGACGGCCCACAACAACGGCTGGAAGAAGGTCGGCGCGAAGCTAGGACTGCACCGCAAGTCGCGGGCCAACCGCCGCAGCCACGCGCCGTCGTCGGCACCCATCAACGACGGAGACATTGCTATGGCGGAGGCCAGCGGCCAGGGCAACCCGTTATAGGAACCAGAGGTCATGCCACCAACCACATCCACCACCCCAGCGACATCGTCCTCCCACCTGCCGTTGGACGGTTTCTCGCGTGTCCGTCACCTATTCAACCCCTGGGATGAGCCCCATCCAGGCAGCCGACTCCCTCTCACGGCGGCGGAAGAGGCGAGCAGGGCATCGGAGAAGGTTGCCCTCGCCGCTTCACAACACGATGGTGGATGTAACGGTGGCATGGCCGCAAAGGAACTGAATCCGTACCGCAACAGTCGCCCTTGGCTGGTACGACGCCCAATCCGCGTCCGGTCACGCACCCTGGTGCCGCTCAAGATCACGACAGAGATCGCAAATGACGCGAAGCTCGCAAAAACGCCGGCAATCGGAAGCGTCAGCGTTCCTTCTCCCGTATCGGCTAACCCCGCCGCGCCAGAAGTATCGAGCGAACAGACGGAGGGCGACGCCGAGCCGGCGGCCGCTGCCGTCGATGTCAAGCCGAACGAGCTGCCGCTGCCCATGTCCCCGTCGATCGACTGCAGGTTCACAGATTTCTCCAACCTGCTCGGCATCAGTGTGCAGCCTCCGCCCGAGGAGGAGCCTGTCGTCGTTGCCACCACCGAGACCGGGTCCTACTGCCGCGCCGCGCCCGACGAAGACATTTACGGCTGGGACGCCGAGCTTGAGCGACAGAGCCGGCTCACCAGACCCGTCCTGGCTTGCGCGTACGACCAGGACTGCCAATATCGCCGGACTAGCATTACCAAGCGCAGCCTCCTACACCGTGTTTTCAGCATGGGGAACTCACCCAGAGATCTTGACGACATGGAGGTACGCCGTGCTAGCAGCACCTCCAGCTAGGCCACACATATACACGTACATACACACACGATATCCATACGTACGAATGGGGCAGTCTTGCCTTGGAAGATCGGAACTTTGACTATACAGCTTTCACTCGAAGCCATGATACCATTTCTCTCCATATATTTTTCCCGGCGCTACTCGGTTTTTTATTTTATCTTTCGACGCTTGTATTTTTGAAACCAGGCTGCACTTTGAGGTTCTCCGGCGAGAAGACATCATCATCACGACTGCATCATTTTGGAAAAGAAAAGGGGATCATAGACACGGACTCGGGACACTTTGGATGAGGAGTTATTTTGGCATTTACAAGGCTTGGGCCATGAAAATCTCATGATGCATTGCGAGGAGCTTTGGTGAGAAGCGGCTGCTTTTACTCCCAGCGCAAAACACGGCGCGGAAGGTATTGCGAGCTCCTTGGGGAGCTGGAACACGCCCCCTTGTGTAGCTCGTTGGTATAGGCATATATGGAATGGTTGAGACGAGCTTCATGATTGTGTTTTAAAAAGGCGTGTTGTATCACGTCCCTTCTAGCATAGGATCTGAATGTCATGCATAACAAACAGAGCTATTTGGCCCTCGTACTTGATTCCACCTTGAATATTGATTTGTCGATAATGCCCTCGATCGGAGCAAGAGCATAACGCATGACAGGGCCACCCAGCGCCGCGGACCACGATGGCACCGGCTGTTTCTCGGCCCACTCCTCAAAACTAGCCGTCCAGGTGCCCGTCCAGGTGCCCGTCCAGGTGCCCGTCCAGGTGCCTCCACGCCCGGTTCGCATCCTGGGGTGGGGGGCACTCATACCACCCAAGGCGCTTCTCGTGCTATCCCAACGATGCAGAGCAACTCAGACGTCGCCCAATTGGATGGGATAGTAGTGGAGCTGTCTCGGACAGACTGTCCTGTCCCTCCTGAGACAGTCTTCTTTGTTGTCGACAAACTCTGTCCAGCTTCCGAATCCCCTCCGACAGCCTTGCTCATCTTTCGGGCGTCGTAACGCCCGTAAAATAAGCGTGTGTGGGGCGCACGCGGCCGATAAGGCTTTCAAGGACGGACTAGACTCTCCGGTCACTACCGCCCGCCGCCGGCGGTGCCGTCGTGGCGCGAATACATTTTGTGTTCTGGCGAGCCGGCAAAGTCAATCAATCTTGCGCTGCTCGGCCTGCCTGGGGGTGGGTGGCTGAGAGCATCGGCCGGGGCAGCCCTATTGACTCGAAGAAGTCGACGGCTGGCCGGCAGTGGTTAGCATGCGGGCGAGAACGGAAGAGAGGGGACGCATCAGTTCTACTGTGCCGTCACTTGAGCTCTTGGTGCTTGCTGCCTGGCCCATTCCAGCTCTTCGGCCATGATGTCGATGACCTTGGGCCGAGTTTCGAGCGAAGCCTAGGCGTGCCTGCGGCGGGATATACAAGAAGCTTTTGGCTCTGCGCTGCTCTAAGCTGCTCCGTCCTTTACCCCCAAAATATGCCAGTCGTAACACTTGCGGCATGTGGCTGGCTCTGTTGGACAAACGTTTTTATTGTTTGGCCCCAGATGGAGAGATGTATCTTGTGGTCTCGTCTACAGCCGCGGTCTCGCAATATCTCGATGGTTGCTCAAGTGCATTTTCCTCGTTGCATATGTAGTCGGATGCGCCCGCCTGGGGACCCTCCTCCTCATGTCTAAGCTTAAAATAGACTACATCCCAGACATGCCCAGTCCGGCAAGAATCGACGTCAGATTTCGGACGATGCGGACCGCTCAATGCCTGCCGTTTAAGGCCTCCGAAAGGGCGTCCTGCACACAGCACATGTGCAGAACCGTCGATTCACCCCGCCCCACCCCCAAAACTGGACGAGCACACGTGGTTCATCCAGTTTACATATTCGCGACGGTCAACAACACCAGACAGAACCTTGATTCGTATTAAGACTATATTTCTGTTTCACAAATGCCTCGCCTGGCAAGAGCTATCCTGGGTATCTATTCATGCTTCCTTCCCGCCCCCCTTTTCTCAAAAACAGAAAGGAAACCTATTCCGACTCAGGCCAACGCCATGTCAAACCTGTTTAACCTCAGCTTCGTCATTACCGGCCCTCGATGGCGATGGTAAACAGTTGGTCCACGAACGTCGCCACGTCATTCACCCTATCCACCGCGACGTTTGAACTCTGCGTGCCGGCGCCGGCGTGAACATTGGTCCTCACCTCGGCCACCTGTAACGTTCGCATCTCGATGGCGCCGCCGCTTGTGCTGTTGCTGCGCTCACCCTCCCTGGCGCCCTCATCCGCCTCACCGCCCGCGTTGGCCACCATGTTCCCCAGCGGCTCGCTTGCCCGCCGGTCCATCAGCGTCGGCGTCCGAAGGTGTGTATGCGCGTCGGGGACCGCCACGTCGTCGGCGTTGGAGACCTCGACTCGGATCTCTTCCGACACCATGATGCCGCCGAACGGCGACGACTGGCTGGCCGGCTCGTGGTTTGTGTATGCCGGGGGCGCCGCGTCGAAGCTCGAGGTGCCTGGAGACATGGCATCGCTGTCACGACCTACCCTCCAGAGCTTGAGCGTCGAAGTCGACTCGTTCGAGTGTGTCCCCATAGAGGAACGCCCGAGTACCGTGGAGATGGGTTTTCCTTCCGAGTCTACCGGGTGCAACGAGTTCGGTCTACTGAAGCTGTAAAAGCGCGTCGAATAGCGGGACTGGCTCTTGCCGTGCAACGCCGGGCTCGGCTTTTCGGGGGGCACGGACTGGAGAACAGGCGCCAGCTCACGATGCACTGACTGCGTAAAGGCAAGTTGGCGCGACGTGTCGCGGCCAACAAGCTGATGGACCTTGAAGAAGTTCAACGGGATGAACTCGCACTTGGGGCTGGTGAAGTTGACATGAATCGGAATTACCAGCCGAAAGGCGATCAGGCTCGTCGGGAGCGGCGGGGACGCTTCGTCGGGGGTCTGGATCGCCGGCAGTGTGACGACAGTGCTGGTGAGGATGGCCTCGTTGAAGATTGGGTCGTCAATCCAGGTGCGGAGTGCGTTGAGGCTGTCCATCAACTGGGACGCGAACTGCACCTCACGGGTGCCCACATTGCTCATGGAGGCCAGCGCCCTGCTCATGCTGAGGGTGTTCAGGCGGTCCAGCTGTCGGAGGAAGTTCAAGTGCCACTGCTCGATCCGGTCGATGGGCATCTGCACGCTGGGCAACAGGTGTCGGGCTCCCTTCCGGACGGCCACATCGAAACCATAGCTGCCCACGCGCGCGCGGATGCCGAAGAGTCCCATGTGTACGCCCGGCTCCAGCTGGTTGTTGTCGTCAGCGTAGGCGGCCATATTGTACAGCTTCGACTCCAGGTCCGCCGACTTGATTTGCATGCTGGCCCCGATGATACTGCTGACTTGGCGGAGCTCCGCAAAACGGTACCCGGCGGCCTCCAGCCTCTCGATTTCTCTGTCAGTCTGCACGCGGCGTACCAAGAACATAAGGGACCCTCGTCCAAACTCATGGAACACCCGGTGGCCTACCCCCTTCTCTGCTAGATCGACGATGTTGCCGGATGCCACGACATTCCTCTTTATCCCATCAGGCCGCAGGACGGGAGCAGCGTCTTGATGACTGCCTGCGTCGTGTCCCGGACGTTCGCCGCTAGCGCCGGTCGATAGGATCTCGTCCCACAACATGCCAACGGATGTCAGGTGCTCTTTCATCTTATCGGCAAGACCGACGGCAGCGACGCAGAAGAGCTCACGGAAGATTACGTCGTAATTCTCAATGAGCTCGCCATGCTCGTTTATGAGCTGGATGCCGGCACGAGTATCGCGGTCGCGGCCATGCCTCGGAAGGTGAGCCAAATGGTTCGCCATGCTGCCGACGAGTGTCGAGATGCCGGACCAGTTTCGCGACGCCTGAAACATCCACAGAAACAGGGGGTGAGCGATGTTGAAGTTGTCACTGGCGTTCTTCTCGATGAACGTATCTGTGATCTTCTCACTCGGAACCAGGCCATCGGGGTTGACGAGGATGCGATTGTGCTTATCAAAAACAGCGGCCGCGAGGACCACTTGCTGTGCCTTACTGGCATACCGCTTCATGATGCGGGCAGTATAAACAGCCGTCCCGCCCATGACGCAGCAAGCACCGATCGACTGTCCCGCAGCGTTAGTGACCTGAGAACTCTCCAAAAACGGCGGCGTAGCCGAGCTTACCAGGCAAATGACAACAATGACGGTTGTGTTGCGGGACAACTCGTTGCTGCCGGTGTTGAGGCGCACAAGCTGGTACTCGGTGCCAGTGGCAGCGCACCAATGCATGCCGGAGACGGCACCGGCCAGGACGACGGAGCACGCGGCGCGCTTCCACCAGGAAGTGGTCCAGGCGGCGCGGAAGACGAAGAAGAGGGCAAGGGCGACGATGCTCGCGGCTACGGCGATGAGCGCCGCGCCCACGACGTTGATCGGATTGTAGATACAGATGTAGTTGTCGATGGAGTTGTTGCCGAGATAGTGCATGCCACAGATGGCGGCACCGGCCAGGACGCCTCCCACACAGACTCGCCACCAGGAGACGGTGTTATTGATACCGACGGCGACGAACGCGGCTAGCAGCACCGCGATGGGGACGAAGAAGGACAGGGCCGTGAAGCCGCTCGAATACGCGATCTGCATCTCGGACTCTCCATCGGCCAAGTCGATGGCGCGGTTGCCGATGAAATGCTTAGAGATATGTTAGTTCGCAAGGCCCCCGGCGGGCGGCTGGACCCAGGCGACTCACCATGCACCAGATGGCGATTCCGCCCATCGTTACCGCGGAGCTGACGAGGAGGAGACTGTTGCAAGTGTAAGTCGGACGGGGTTCCCAGACGGAGGTTGAGGAATCCCTACTGGTTGAATTTGCCCTTGGGTGAGGTTCGTCTGTTCAGCAGCTCGAGAGTAGACGCCGCGCCGATAAGACTGACGGCGAAGCTGAGAGTGATGAAGCCGCCATTGAAGGACCTCGGAACCACCTGCCCATGGTATCTGTCGAACAGTTCCTCGGTCTTTGTGGACATATTGGCGGCGGTTGACTGGGAGAAGCCACCCAGGTAGATTGCGTCTCGAATGTCTCTCGCCCGCGGGGCCCGGTCGTCGTGTAGATATATCTTTCGACTCGCGTGGCAGGCCGGGGAATGAGGGTTCCGTTGGACAAGTTCAAGGGAGTCTGGGGGGGGGGGGGGGAGGGCGTGGTTCCCCATGAAAGACCGGGGGTCCATCCAGGACATATCATGGGTTGTCAGGGTGAGACAGAGAAGCGGCGGATCGGGACTGGCTGACGCTTTTGGCGCGACGCTGGTTCGCGAAGCATGGCTCTCATCTCAATACGGCCTAGCTGAAGGGATGTTTCCCGCCTTTCTTCAACCTCACCGAACGCGACAACCGTCAGCTAGTTTCGAGCCAAAAACTGCAGAAATAGTGGATGGGCCCATTCCTCGTTTAGCCAAGGGCCGGACGCCCCAGGGGTACCTCAAGGTCTCAAGCTGGTCAACTCGAGTGCATCGGAGGGGGGGGGGGGTTTGTCAGCGACGAGAAGCCCAGCCGATCAAGATCAGAACAAGCCTCGTCTCCCACTTTGAATGTCGCCGACCCTCGCCATCGGCTTCCAACTCGGACCCCTTTATCGGCCGTGATGGCCTAGCGCGCAAAAGAGAATCTGGTCGTCGCAGTGGGGGGTGTTGTACTCGGACGGCGTGGAGATTGGCCTGTTTCCTGATCCAAAGAAAGAATTGCCTTGACCCAAGACTGTGACGACCGGCGCGGTTTGGGGACACGAGGGATTTGACGGAAGAAGCAGAAGCCCAGCTTCTTCGCGAGCGACACGTCCACCCGAAATCCTGTGGGCCATTGGGAGAAGAAACGAAGCAATCAGCCACTCGTGGCTGGCGCGATGCAGGGAAACTGTGTACTACCCAGCCATAGCCAGTCATGGCCAGTCCGAAGTCGCCGTCTCGTGAAATGTCGTAGACACGCAGGAGGAAGAGACACAGACCAGTAGCTATCAACCGCAGACCGCCACCGAGGGGGCCTGCACCACCCAAAGTGTGGGATTCCAAGACCATCAAAGCGACAGCAGACAAGCGGCACGAGAGACACGACGGGACGAAAGGAGATGGTATCGACAGCCCATAACCGCCGCGCTCAGAAGAATCGCAGGTCTTGTCCGACAATGACTATCACAGGTTCTCTCTGGGGAGGCGCCGCTTAGGCGACTAAGCCTGACGCCACGGCCGAGCGCGTTCGAGCAAACGGTTGGCTCGGGAATGTTAGCCGGGGTTGCCACTCCCCGCTGCACGACGGGCGCAAAAGGCGAGAGAGAGAGACAATGCGAGAACAGACGTTATGGATCACGATCAGTTCCGTGGTTTCTGGCCACTGTCGAAAATGATTCGAAAGGTAGAGATGACGACGGCCTAGGATGATGCGTTCGGTCCACCCAAAAGCAATTAGTGTTCGCATGCTCCCGATGGAAGGTTGAGTGGGGTTTGGACGAGATGGATGGCATGATCTGCAGTAATCCCTGCGAACGGACACAGGGGACTCGTCCGTCTTCGGGACAGCATCCTAGGTAGTGTACATACTCGGTAATATGGTACAGGATGCGTGCGGCACACCCATTCGCTAACAGCGAGGCAATTTGTGGACAGTATGCAGGCGGGAGGGGGGGGGGGGGGGGGGTTCGGCTGACGGATCTCGCTTATCCTGCATCCGTTTCTTTTTCCTTTTCTTCCATCTGCTGCGGTGCCACCAATCCGGGCTTTCAGCCTGACCCGATGCAGCCGCACTTGCATCATACTCTACTCGTCAACCATGGCCCAATAGAGTCCAGACGAACGCCAAGCTGGGATGCGCTGACTGCGTTTCCTCGGCAGGCCTGTTTCTAGTCTCGATCCGGATCGTGTCGACGAGATGTGGTGGCCAAAGGCGACGTCGGCCATTCATGTCCTGTTTTCAACCCGGCTTCTCGACTCGGATGTCGATTTTTTCATGGGACACGCAAACCGACTGGAATCTCCCCTCCCAAACTCAACCAACCAGCATGCGCCACTGATGTAGACTTGGCTTGTCCGCACACCCCTTTCGACGACGAGCATAGGGCTGCCCTAGTAGGCACACACAGACACACACACACATACACACACACACACACTTATATTGCAGCGCAAGAACAAGAGGTGCGGTGCACATCACCATCTTGGCATCGCCTGCGGCTAAGTACGCCACGCTGCGACGGCATACCACTATAACAATAGTGTATCCACCTGTCCGACCCTGAAACCCTGAGGCCTCGGTCCTGGTTCTGGGGAACGGGGAACACACTAGGGCCTCGGGAAGGCCAGGGCACGGAAGCGGATGCTGACCACGGAAGATTTGCGAAAGCCTGGACTGTCGAGGGTACGGATATAGCATAATCATGAAGTGTACATGCTGCTCCGTTCCCAACACCAGGCGGGCCAGATATCTGCACTCAAGTATTCTGCCGAGGGAAGCCGCCATCAATAAGGCAACTCGCGGGACGACCAACTCCTCCAGACCGCCATCACAATTGCGCCCGAGGCCCTCTTCCCCTTCCTTTTCTTCTTCCCTGAATGCATCCTGCCGCCTAGGCGCACAATATCGCAGCTCGGCCCATGTGACCGACACGGGGCTGTAGTCGGTCTGGTATGCAAGGACGAAGAGAAAAAAGCAAGGAGGGGGACGGGTAACACGACGTACAATGTCGTTCACTGAATCCAATGTCTCGGTTGGCGACCCTGCTGATGATCGGGCAGAGGACTGGAGGGCCGGCGTATCAACGAAGGGCCGCACTCCTCTTGCCTGTCGCCTTTTGCTGCTAAACGCTCCCAGGGTCTTTGTCGCGGGACTGGTGACGAAGTGGGCATAGGACGGTGACACGCCGAATGAGCGGCTGAAGTCGATGACGCACCAGAGGGCTGGCTTCCGCAGCGCATATGTATGTTTCCAGGCACTCGGGTACCAGTAATCAGTAACTAGAATGCTTTTCGGTGTTCGTTGTGGGAAAAAGGTGTCCTGGTTTTTTTTTTTTTTTCATTTTTTTTTTTTTTTCATCCGAGTGCCAGGCAAGCAGCATACGCCAACTAGGTGGTTGCATGGGAGGACCACCCTGCCGGAGAAGGTGCACAAGTGTGGACGGAGCGACAAGTTGTCGTGCTCAGAGGCTGCAGTTCGTGCTCCGATTCTCTGCAGTTGATCAGAACTCGGATTCTGCCCACCATAATCTCTCATTCCATACCGTCATGGGCGTGTTTCTCCCCGTTTCTTTTGCCAAGCGGCAAGCGCGCGCCACTCTTCAGGGAGAGAAGCCAAAACACGTCTGAGAGTGACCGTCGCGCCATGTGGTCGTCACGCTCAAACGGCTAACACTTTGGCTATCCCTTGACCTTTCTATTGACCCCTAGCGTCTTCGGCTGTGGAGACCAATCGAGCTAGCAGTAGTTGTGGAAAGAGGAGGTTTGCTGGCGTCGTGTGCGTGCATCATAACTCTCCTCGCCGGCCGGGACGAGCTGCATAGTTTTCCGTTGTGTGGATGCCGTGTAGATGAATAGCCCCGGCCTGAAATGTTGACGAGACTTGGGCCGCAAAGAATGTCACCCGTGGGTGTCCATACCGTCGGCCTTCGCTGGAGAAGACCTGCAACTTGAGGGGTTGCCTCTGGGATATTATTGTTAGCGACTAACTGGTAGGAGGAGGTCTGACTCCCGGGCGGTGTGCAGCATGGCCCGCACACTCCAGTCATCCAAACGATCATCAGTCGGCGAGCCCCTTCCTGTCCTACACCAGACGACAGCTGACCAGAGACGCAACACGGACAAGTCGGGGCGCCGGCGCATCTTCAAGTTCGTGGTGGCGCTCTACGGATAGCCGAAATGATTGACAGACTGACAGGCTATGTATTGCTTTTTGACGCGGCCTGGTCCTCACAGCGCTCCACAAGCCAACCAACCAGGAGACAATGCTGCGTCTCAACGGGCTATTGATTGTCTCGTACGATGGAGACATTGTTTGTTGCTTTATCTGACTTGGAATCATCCAAACGGTGGAGGTCTCGAGTCGCTCGCTACGCCAAGTCTCCAAGCCAAGGCAAAACTAACACCACAAGAAAGAAAGACGCCCGTCAGTCGCCCACTCAGGCCTGCCAACGAAATCAACGAAGCCGTGCAACCCGAAACATCCTACTGCTTCCAATGAGGCGTGCGAGAAGGAGAGAGAGTGGAGAAACGAAGAAACAAAAAGGGAAGAAAAAGAAAAGACGACAAGCCATGGGGAGAAACAAAAAAGAGCTCATCGAAAAATCTAGATCCGACGGCTGCTGTCCGTGTCGGCCGGCTTGTTTCTCTACGAGTAGTCGACGGTGCAGCCACAACGATGTCAGCAAAGCTTGTTCCTTATTTTGCGACACAAGTCAGGATTTACACCGGGATAAATGATGGCGAGACAGTCCAGATGGCACGGCTTGCTCTATAGCCATGTTTTACTCGATTTCTTGATGTTCCAAGAGTTCCAAGTGCCACAGGTTCCAGGCCCATTTGCTCGAGACGACCTACTGTCGCGCAGGAAAGCCATCGCGATGCTCTGCTGCGTTCGCGCTCGTGGGGCAGGTCCGCCGGCGGTGTTGCTGTCGCGTTCCGCCGGTGAGTAGGTTGCACGTCGGCGAAGGTGATGCGTGATATCCCGACAATGACAGGGGTGCGACGGATGGCAACCCGGAGAGGAGGGGCGAGCTCCTTGCGAGCCCGCTCCGGGGCCGGAGGGGGGGCGATCGCTCCCGCTGGATTAATGATTGCCCGAGCACTGATAAGGGCCCCGACCGCGGGGCAGAAGGCCCCCCTCCCCGCCATACATAGCCCAGAGGAAAAGGATTGCAAGCCAGCGGGTGTAGTGGGGGTATGTGCGGCATTGCATCACCAATAATCTGGTACGAGCAACAGATCACGCCCGACTCGTCAAAGGAATCGCAAGTCGAGTTCGACGGTCCCACCCCATTCGACTGACCATTGTTGCTGTCTTTTTTCCCAGCCCCGACCCGTTCCTCCCCGACCAAACTCGCCCGGGTGAATCCAGCATCCCGCCGTGAAAATGCCTTCATCCACAGAGACGCCGGCTTCGGCTGTCCGAGTGCTCCCTCTCACGCCCTTCACACCCGACCTCTACGAGCGCGCGTGGTGCTCCGTACCCCATCCGACCCTCCCTCTCATCGCGACCGCCTACGGCAAATCAGTCAGGATCTTTTCCCTGTCCTCCCTCTCCTCCCACAGCATCCTGACCGGCGGCCATACGCGATCCATCCGCTCGGTGGCCTGGAAGCCCAACCTCCCTCCCCACCAGCTGTGCCTCGTCACCGGCAGCTTCGACTCCACAGCCGGCCTCTGGCGCTGGGACGGCGAGCTCCCCTTCGCGGGCGGCGACGCAGCCTCCTCGGCCGCGGAGCCTCTCGAGATCGACCTCAGCGGCGCGGCGAAACGGCGCCCCCGCGGTGACGCGGATAGCGACGGCGACAAGGACTGGGAGTTCACGCTGGTCCTCGAGGGTCACGACTCGGAGATTAAGGGCGTTTCCTTCGCCCCCTCGGGCGCCTACCTCGCCACCTGCAGCAGAGACCAGACCGTTTGGGTCTGGGAGGACGTGGGCGTCACCGAGGGTGACGACGAGTGGGAGACGGTCGCCGTCCTGAACGAGCACAACGGCGACATGAAGGGCATTGCGTGGTGCCCCGACGTGCCTGGCCGCAACTCGCGGAGGCGCTACAGCGCTGACGTCCTCGCGAGCGCGAGCTACGACAACACGATCCGCATATGGCGTGAGGACGGCGACGGCGAATGGGTGTGCGTCGCGGTGCTCGAGGGCCACGACGCCACCGTCTGGGGTGTGCAGTGGGAGCAGAAGCCGAGGGACGACGGCGGCTTCCCGCGGCTGCTCAGTTATTCGGCTGACCAGACGATACGGATATGGAGCCTGCAGGCCGAGGACGAGGACGAGGACGACGGGCCCGGCGCCGCCTTCCGCGGCGGGCTGGGCGGCATCCCCAACACGATGCGGAGGTCGCTGCGCGAGGACTGGGTTTGCACCGCCGTCCTGCCCAAGGCCCACACCCGCGACATCTACTCGGCCACCTGGAGCGCCACCTCGGGAATGGTGGCCAGCACCGGGAGCGACAGCGTCATCGCGGTCTACCGCGAGGACGACGCGGACGGCACGGGACCCGAGGCATCGGCGGATACGGGGGCGACTGCTACCACCGGGGACGGCGCGGTGGCCACCCCAAGGAAGCCCGGCGAGCTGCCGGCGGGGTCGGGTCGGTGGCACGTCGTCGCCGAGGTGCCCAACGCCCACGGCCCATACGAGATCAACCACATCACCTGGTGCAAGAGGTACGACGCGGGGTCGGAGAACAAGGGTGTCGAGGAGATGCTCGTCACCACGGGGGACGAGGGGCTCGTCAAGCCTTGGCAGGTGATGGTGTCATGAGGAGACCACAACGGCGTCGAGAGCACGAGGACGGCCTGCATCTAAAGGGTGACCCGAATCAGCACCAGCAACAGATTGCATGTTGTCGCTCAAGGCGTCGCCGGTCGGGCCTCGGCTCCGGGCTGCGACATCTGCCATCGGCACAACCGACTTGGCGAGCGGGATCTGCCCAAGATGGCCCTTGTTGACGAGCGGAGCGAGGCTGGAGTCGGCGGGAAACGGGGAGAGCCGCGCGGGCCTTTAGCACCATGGGGGGGCCGGGGGCGGAGACTAGAGACGACCAAGTTTGTTTCTTATAGATCTTGGTAACCCCGCGGTCCGTGGCAGACGATACCCAGGTACGGTGATGTAGAGCAGAGCAGGGGGGGGGATGAGGTTAGCCAGAAGTGCGGTAGAATAATCAACAGCAGGCCAAGTGCATGGAACAAAGTCAACCGGCTGCTCTCGTACACCTTTTAAGTAGCCCCAAGGGGCCTGGTACGCGATACAAGATGAGCTAAATCTTTATTCCAGGTCGGAAAGGAATGCGCCGTGTCTGCCGTTTATGTTGGTCGCCGGGACATAAACCCCAATGGCCGTTCGCGTCGTATTGCGGAACACCGCTCGCCTGGGCGTCGAATGCGATAGTCCTGCAGACAGATAATGGAGCTTAGAGTGGTTTCTGGTATGGTATTGGATGAGCTGGAACATCTTCCATTTCCTGTTCGCCGGATCATTGAGAATGAGCTGGATTGGCTCAAAGGGGCGCGTGGGAGGACGGACGCGGTTGAGGAGCAGCCAGCCATGGCTGTTTGACTTTCTCGCTGGTCACAAGATTTGGCTTATTCGAACAGGAGTTGTGTATGTCGAACGAAAGGGTTGGTTTGAAGCGTATGAAAAGGGTGGTTGATAGTTCTTTCAAACCCTTGATTGTAGGTTGATGTTTTCACTGAGAAGTGTGGACGCAATGGGTGCGGTGGGAAGGAGCCGGAATAGCTCCGGGCCAATCAGTCCCCATCCCAAGCGAACCACGCGCGAGCCTTTTGACGATGCTGCGGTCCGGATTGCATTATAAGACTAATTAAGTATTGATTTTGGAAGGGAGGGCTTTTTGAAGTATCCCTGTACCCAAACCATGCATCAGAGATGGCACCAACACTACAAGCATCACGAGTCACAAGTGTCTCAGGACAACAGTCTTGGTGGGCTGAAAATTTCAATTCAGCTTTGAACCTTCTCCAGCCGCCTGGCAGTCAGTCTCGGAGCCGCTCCAGCCCTGTGTTGTCGGAATTCGTTCGTTCGTCTGCTGCAACCTGTTGGACAGTCCCCCCCCCCCCCCCCCCCTGTGTGGTCATCCTACTGCTTGCGAACGCTATCCAAGATGCCCTTCTCGGAGATCAATGCCCGAGCCGTACTTGGCGGTGGTTTCAAGCCCGTATTCCAGGATGTAGTCCAGCTTCGTCGTCCTCTGGTCCTCTTGTTGATCATCTCGACGCTCTCCCTGATATCTCTCAAGGCAGATAAGTCGATGATCTCAACCAACTCTTCCCTCAGCAACCTCGAACGGCGGCGCAGAAGGCTCGGGCATCTTGGGATCGAGACCGAGATCTTGATAGAAGAATGACAAGTGTCCCCTTGTCGACTCGATGTACTTCTCCATGGCGGCCAGAGGCTTCTTAGCAGCCTGCGGGGCGGATGAAGTAGAGACAGCTGCATTTCCACCGTACGTAGAGCCCAGTGGCGTGCTGACGATGGGAACCATTGCCGATGGCTTGCTCTGCTTCTTCTGGGTTGCGCCCCCCTCCTGCTTGGGGGGTTCGTGGCAGGAACGGCGGGGGGCAAGGCCGTGGCAGGCCCACTCCTCACGGAGTTGCTTGTCGAGCTCTTGTTGAGTAGCTTGGCCGCCGGCGAGCTCGTCTTTGTGCTCTCGGGTCTTCAACCAGAGTTGATCGGTAGACAAAGAAGTTTCGCCAACCTCATCTTCTCAGGAGTTTGGGGGCGTCTAGTTGGCCGCTCTCGTCCCCTGGTTGACCTTTGCAGTCGTCTCATTGGTCGAGGGTGTGATTTTAGGGTTTCCTCCAGTAGCAGCTGCCCCGGGCTTGTTGTCGTGTGCGCTCATGATGCCACGTCCCAAATGTAACAAGGTGGGTATGAAGCTTGTTTTAGTTGTTGTGAGTTGGCGTGAATTATTGATGTGAGTTGCTGGTGAGATGAGGATTTGAAAATTGAGTAGGAGGGGGGGCTTCGAAAAGGATTGTGTAGAATGCGAGTAATAAGGAGTCCCTATAAAAGGAAGAAGCTGTGAGTGTAGCCATGGATAAGTGGTCTTCTGCTACCTCAGTATGGTTAGTACCAACATGCAACTTACCCCTTATGTACACATTTAATAGTACATATTTAGAAAAGTCTTGTAGTAGCAGTTACACATGCGCGCAAGGAATCAAACAAAGATTATCACGGCCATACACATCCTTTAATAGGGCGATACAGGACTTCTAGCATTCTACATCAAACCAGGACCAATGAGTGAAGTGATGATCATAGTCCACTATCGCCGTCACCTTGAAACCCCTAGCGTCTTCAACTGCGTACTAGGACGAGGCTACAGCCGTTGCTCCACAGACTAACCGTGAGACTATCGCCACCAACACGGAGGCGATGGGCTGCTGGCTGTATTCTTCGTCTTGTCGGCCGCTGCCGTCCCATAGAGAACAACCCAAGGCCTGGGCTGGCCGTCGACGGCCGCAAAGGTATCACCATGGGCCCGAGACTCTTTAAGAACTTCAGTCTTATTAACTACGGTTTGCTTTGTGGGATCATTCGAAGTCCGGGCTTCCATCGGATCTCGCTCAAGTTGGCTATTGTCTCGTCCTGGTTTGTCACCCGACGTCTGAGCCTCCTCGAGAGCTGCGGTCTTGTCGGCTGGCTCTCCCCTCGGCAATCTCAAACGTGGCCCTTCAAGCGGTGCAGTTCACATTGGCTTCCATTAACGCGCTTTGGCTGTAAAGGATACCGTCCCTCGCCAACTGATAGTCGCTCTAAAGCTCCTTTATACTTTCCGCGTTGTCGGCCAGTGTCTTGACGTTGGAAGTTGCCGTCTCGTTGAGTCTGCTATCCATCTCGGTCATCACTTTGTTGCGCCGGATTGACCCCGCGAGGCTCGCCCGCTCTTGGCCCAAACGGGATGCTGCATCCACGGCCTCTTCTTGAGGGCGTTTGTTTCTTCTCTGAGAGACTGAATCTTACTCATGAGGTCGACATAGATTTGAGAGGGCTGCCTGCCACCTGTCTTGTCGTCGTCGGCTAGATCATCCCCACTTTGCTATACGGAATCCGTTGCTCGAGAGACGAACCTCTCAAATTCGCGCCGGTCAGTCTCTGCGTGCGAAATGACCTCTTGAAACCGAGCCGTCTGCTGGTCCCAGTCGGCCTTCCCTTACTGCAGCGCCAAGAGCTTGCTTCGAGGATTCTTGTCGGTCTCCCGGCCCGGCTAATGGCCAATGCCTTCTTTCGAGATCGATCCCGTGTGCGATACGCTCACCCGATATATGCTTTCCATTCGCCTTGAGCTCGTCCTTGAGAGCCTGGATTCTCTCTGCCAGGACGTTCAGGTTCAGCTACGTGTCAGGGACGCGCCCACTGTCGTGGAAAGGTGGTGATGGATGCCTCCCATCCGGAGGCGATCCTCAGTAGCAAGCCGCTGGATAAGCTTTCGCATCGCGTTGGCACCATCCGTCCCGTCGGTCACCAGCTTCTGGAGGTCCTCGTCCGATAGATCTTTTATAATGTCGACCATACTGGCGAGCGAGAGGCACATTGCCGGGTGGAACCCCAAGTGGGATTGTTTCTCACTCGTTTGAGCCTTCTTCTGACTTGATCGCATCCCACAGCTGTTCAGTGGACGCTGCTATATCCTCTTTCGCTTCGCATTCATGACCCAGAGACGTTTTCAGCTCCTTGAATCGTGTCAACAGTACGTAGCCCATGGGGTCGTCCTCGCTGCTCAGGAGGAGAGGGTGGGATCTGTCAAGCCCTGACACTTTGGCGTTGTCTTTGAGCTTGTTTAGAACCTCATCTAGTAGGGCTGGCGCCTCTGCAAGGAGGTTCCCTCCGTCGACGAGGCATTTCTTGGGGTCCGGCAGCCCCACGAGCCTCACCTACGAAAAACATCATCGGCATGGTGTCCCTGCCGTTCTCAGTGGTCGTCTGTGTCAATTGTCACTGATGTTTCTTATCTTGTTGTATGGCTGTAGGTTTCGTAATAAAAATAGAAGGCGGCATGTTTGAAAACCGATGCTATTGTTAGGAGTGTAAACTATGTTTGTAGTAAGAGCGAAAACTTGTGTTGTTATTAAGACCAGCATCCCGGTCACCCTTGTACAGACAAGATGAGATAGACTAGGATAAACATTGCATTTGCGCTAATACATACGTCTAAGCTTCCCGTAGAGGACACAAGATGACTGGGATAACTAACCTCCATAGTAGTATACATAACGTTCCGGCTCTCCAAGCCTTCCAATCGCTGCATGTATACACACACACACACACACGCACGCACGCACAACTCTCCTCCAAAAACAGTGCAGAACACAAAGGCTCTGCCACCATCACCATGACCAAAGCAGCTGGCGAGTTAGACATCACTTGAACTACAGCTGCATACGCAAACGACTGTCAACGGCATCAGTCACAACCTTGGGGAGTCGTTGCTGGGCTGTGGCTTGACTTACTGGCGAAGCCCCCACTCGAACGTAACGGCGCCGGCCTCCGGCCCCGGCGCCGGCCGCCCGCATGCCTCTGACGACCACGCCGAACTCATTGATCGGATGACATCGTCTCGCCGCCTGCAGACGGAAAGCTTCGTCCGGGCAGGCCAGACACCGTCATCCGCGCACGGCACAACACCCCCCTCCCCCCCTCTCGAGGACGTTGCGCGCCGTCCGATCCGAGCGGCCCCGGCAGCGACGGCTCGTCTGCTACGCTTCCGAGTCTTCCGGATGCCGATGTCCGACACGAGAAGGACCGGGAAGCTCGAGCTTTGGCTCTGTTTTCCTGAAACGAGCCGTGTGCCCTGGCAAAGTCAAAGATACGACGAAGAAGGGGGTTTCCGCTGTGTACTCGCATGGGACGACCTGACGGTTAACCTTTTCCCATCAGGCCAACACGGCCTGGAACATTACCTGACACGAGGAGGCGTACCGAAATAGAACCCCCCCCCAAATTGAGGCATTTGATTTGGCTCAAAGGCTAACAAACATCGGGCCCGAAGGGTTGATGTGACTGCCGACGCACTCTGGGTGCCAACCTTTCCCCAATCGCCACTTGCCTTGACCAAGAAAAACCTTGGCTGTTCCCGTCTCGTCCCACTCCAATGAGTTCGTAGCACAACGCGATAGGCTTTTGATGGGCCTGCCCGCAACGCCAGGACGCACGCACGCAAGCACGCCGTGACGGCAGGGTCTGGCCTGACTGCCGTCGCGACGCTCGGCAAAGCATGCGGTGTTGTTTGGGGGGGGGGCCGCGAACGCCGCGAGCCTGCGACAGGGACGCCGGCGTTCGCGTCGTTCGCGGCGTTCGCGGCGTCGCATCGCATGCGAGCCGGCCATATTTTGCCATAGACGGCAAGCCCTCCGCGCCGCTCATGTCCGCCGGCGGCCACGTGACGAACCCAAAAACCTGCTTCGGCGATGGTATTCCTTGCACGGGTTCCAATACACGCAACCCGCCGCCCGCCGCCCGCGAGTGATAGAGCGACTGAGCGGCCCGCTGATCGCCCCCCCCCCAAACCAAGCCAGCCAAAAGAGCGCAGGCGGAACCCCCCCGGTTGACCCGCAACCGCGCCCGCAGAACAGAGTTTGGGCTCTGTCCGGCGCCCTGGCCGTGTACGGCAGCGATGCGCGAATGCCTTATTGCCGCGGCGTGCGCCGGACCTTAGTTGTGCCAAGGCGGCGGGCCGCTGAAGAGCGTCGTGGGCCGTCTGGACGTGGGGAGAGAGGCTGGAGTCAACGAATCGTCGGCCAGACAGTTGGCCGTCCCACGCCAAAAGACCAGGCACTTGTTGTCTTGGACGCCCCGTCCCCATGTTGGTTCCGAGTCAGTCTGAATTAGGCCCAAGTGCAGCGATCGCCGACCTGCGCCTTGTCGGATCGGTAGGGAGAGCACCCCCCTGGATTCCTCGATGCCTCGATTCAAGAGGCAGGTTTCCCTTTTCTCTTGTTTTTTTCCCCCCTTCCCTTTCTCCCCCTGCGTTTCGTGTGCGTGTGTATGAGGCGGGCGCAGATCGTTGGCGCTACCGAGCCTTGGGCAGCAGCGCCGCCGCTGACGAAGGTCGGTCTTTTGACGTGTCTCAACAGGACCGGCCGAAACTTGGCCGATCCGATCTTGTTCTGCCCTGGACCCCACGTGCAGCATCCCTCGAGGTCTCGTCGGCGCCAGGCACAGTCGTCCAACACTGACCTCAGTACCTCAGCAAGCAAGTAGGTAGGTAGGTAGGTAGGTAGGTAGGTAGGTAGGTAGGTAGGTACGTGAAGGAAAGACGGCCAACACGTACGCAGGGTGGACCGAAGGGGCGCACCGAGATCAGGATTCTTGTTTAGTGGACTAGCCAGCCAGCCAGCCAGCCAGCCAGCCAGCCCCAGGACGGATGCGCCCGATGAAGCAGCTGTTGTGATGGCAGTGCGATTGCACAAAAGGTGTCGCTCTATCGAGGGACTAGGTACACTACTACGTAGTCGGGAGGCTGGGTTGACCCTGTGTCTGCAGGCGGGGCGCACCAAAACTGCACGCACGCCCGTCGATACGTGCACTCCACGGAGCGGCGGCCAGCAACCACCCGGCCGCCGAGGGCTTGCGAGTCTCCGGTGCTCGCCGGCACTTCCCGGCCTATGACGGTGCTCTTGGACAGCGCATCGTAGGGTCCCCACCCGCGCGGTCGGTCGCGCGACAAGAGAAGGCCGTCAGGCCGTATCGGATTTAGGGGGGGGGGGGTTGTGTTCCCCAGTTGTGCCCCCCCGGCGCTGTGAAGCAATCTGGACTTGCCGAGCTTAGGTAAGGTACGCGCCGCCATTGTTCCACGGAGCCATCGTCGAAGGGCCCAGACTCTTCGTCCCCACTGATGGTGACGCAGCAGCAGAGGGAGGAGAGCCGCACAGTATAGTACCTACTGCGGCGACGGGACGATTATGGCACGATCTGGTACCAAGGTTCCACGTCGGCCGTCGCACCGGGACGTGAGGGGACCACATACCAGTACGTACTACCGTAGTAGTACTAGGTAGGTACGTTGCATTGCCCTACGGATGACCGATCGAGCCATGGTCGCACTCGCGTCGGGATGGGGCGATGACGGCGGACACAGACAGATGCACTGCCGAACCGCGCTGTTTCTCCGTTTCGGCTTGATTTGTGCAAAGGGGTCTACAAACAGACAGGGAGATGTCGGTCTGGCAGCCGGATCACCGCACAATTACGGCACAGTGACGAGGGGCCGGACGGTGAGACAGCGTGGTCTCGGCCGTGGGATTCCCAGCTGCTGGGCCGGTGGTTTGCAAACAGAACTGGCTGGCTTAGAGCGGCGAGCCGTGGCACTCCCTTGACGGGGAGACAACAAATGCAAATCTTGGAGAGCTTTCTCGGCGGGCGGGCACACATGGACGATGAGTCAAGCTCAAACACCGAGACTCGGCGGGCTAGGTACCATGGCATCAACACAAATAGTGTACACACGTACCAGTCCAACCAAGGTACATGTGCAAGGTGTGTCCCTCTCGAGGTCGCACAGGTACACAATGATAACAACACGGTCGAAAAAAACACAGTATGAAACCACAGTATGAACGTACCGTGCATATCGTTCCTTGATGCCACGGGGAACGCTAACCGGGGGGGGGCCGAGACGAGGAGACTCCACGCGTCCCGGGGATGAAATGTTGGAAGCTTCCGAGGTTGACAGGTACCCGTCGATGAAGCCAAGCGAGAAAGTCAAGTCGGTAGGGAGGAACCATAGGTACTCTACGGAGTATAGGGGTCTCATTAATGACAGAGAGGCAGAGAGGAGAGAGAGAGAGAAACAGGAAAAGCAAGAAAAGTGGGGAGGGTCTGGAATGCCAAAGAACCATGCAATGTAGATTCACATGAGCGACGAGATGAGGAAGATTGTAAGCGAAAAAAAAAAAAAAACACCCACTGAACTAGGTACTTCGTAGACTCATAAAGTACATTGTAAATCGGGTCAGGGGGTCAGAAGGCTTTGTTTCTTCTCTCTTTTTCTTTCTTCTCGAGATTCTTTTCTTTTTTATGAAAGTGGTCCCAGCGCTGCGGCATCCCGCGTTGACAGCTCCGCGATCCCTGTCCTGTCCCGTTATTCCCGTCCATCCGCCCCTCCCTTGGCCTTTTCTTGTCCAGGTTCCCCCTTAGGGGAGGGGAGCTTCCTTGGTCCCAGCTCAACGACACTCACCATGCTTACTTTTCCTGACAGCCGTGTATACTTCTCACGGGAGACACTTGCACAGCAGGCGTGGGAGAGACAGGGCAGCCTCCTCCCTCCCCTTTTGTTTTTGCTGCCTTCTCGAATCTTGCATCTTGATCCACCTGAATGACCCCCCCCCCCCCCCCCTAATGACCCCCTCCCCGTGCAACCTACACGTTCCAATTACGTCCGCTAAACTTGCAAGCCCTCACCATCCACAACCGCCCTGCCGGAGCATCTTTCCGCCATTGTGCAACCGTCCGTCCGGCAGAGTCAAGTCAGCCTTGTACCGGTGAACCGGGAAGGCCTTCTACAGCCAGCCACCTGCCCCTAGAAGGCATGTAAGATCTGGTTTCGCGGCGCACGACGGAGGGGGAGGCCGCGTATCACGCAGACTTTGTTATTTATTTTTATTTTTATTCCCCTCCCCTCCCCCTCCCCCTCTCCCTCCCTCCGCGATGAGATGAGAGTGGGCACCCCGATTTGAATCGGACCAAACATCAAGAACGCACACCCGCGACACCTTGCCGAGTCGACCAACGTTCCCTGTGTTGTGAACGACGTCCTCACAGGAATTTGTGATGCAGACATGACCCTTCATTTGCTGCCCCCCCCAACCCAATGTTGCACTAACACCGTGCTCCCCACCTCCTTACTCTCCCTCACACGAGCCGCGCTTCCAGCTGGTCCGAAGGTGTACCTATACTACTATCCGTACGCCTTCGTGATACCCACGGCAGGAGAGTCCAGGGATCATGCCATTCATTCATTCATTCATTCGGGCCCATCTACGGCATCTCACTGGCCTGCCCTGTCGCCAAGCGCAAAGCTGCACCCGGAACGAAGCACCACCCATGCCCCGGGAGATCTTCCCCGTGATCCACTCACACCAGCCCAGCCCAAGGCGGCGAGTGAGCTTCCCTACCTATTCCAGGACCGTAGGGCCCCCCACCACCGGTGCACGCTATTCGCAGAGCTCGGGGTGTGCGCCTACCTCTCGTCTCGATACCTACAAGAGTTGATGATACTTCACAACGCAGTGTATTGGTGAGCCCGATACACGATACGCTTCTCTTAGGCGTCTCGACACTTGATGGGGGGGGGGGGGGGGGGGGGGGGGAGGCAGGGCATGTTTCAGGCCCGCTAGTCCCACGTACGGCTCGTGTCTTGTCTGCTCTGGAACGTACATGTAATTGCCGGCAAGGACGGGTGGGGGTGGTGGTACGCTGGGTTAATCGACGTGCAAAATCTGCCGCCGGTCCAGCCTCCAACCCTCCCGTGTCCGGCCCGTGACGCTCGCTGATGTCGCCATGCCCGACACATCAA